AGTAGCTGTAGTAAGTTCTCCATGGCTTAGGGTCTTTCAATAGAGATTGGATGTTCCCAGAGAGATGTTCTAACTCAACCGCAAGTTACTGGGCTGCATGCAGGAATCACTGGGTGTGTTCTTTGGCCTGTGATATGCAGGAGGTCAGGCTAGATGGCCATAATGGACCCTCCTTGCCTTAAAAATCGACCACTCTATTATTTCAACAGGCACTGCGTCCACTTCTGTCACTTCTGGAGTTGGCTCTACACATCAGATCTGTGACACCAACCCTTTCCAATTTTCCCTACATGCCTTTGCATTACCTTTTGTGTTATCATGAGCGTTTCTTTCAGTGCCGTCACCATGGTACCTGAGTGCTTGTGGGAGACACGATGAACTTCATACTCCATTTACATCTGCAGCTTTCAGATTTCAAATGATTTATTTTGCTATTTTGGAGCATTAGGCACTTGTGTGAGATTAACCCAGATTGGCCCCAGCCCACAGAACATATCAAGCAAATCAGCCAAAACCAGATAGTCTAGAAATTAGCAAAACCCTTTCCTCCCTCAGACAGCGACCACTACACTTGCCCAGTTGTGAAGTTAGGACGGTAGATATGGGCTTTGCAGCATGGTTAGGGTATTTCTGACCAAGGTTGAGTAGGGACTGAATTCCAAGGGAAGCCCCCTGACCCCAGCCTACCCTCTCTTATGCTGGGGAATAGGGAGGGGAGGGGGGTGAACTCATTGCCTTTGTTACCAAGCCCTCTCCTCTGCCCGATCTCTATCACTGCTGACAACACCTCCAGCCTCGCAGTCACTCAGGGCTACAACCTGGTAGACGTCTTTGACCCCTCTGACCTGCGTGTGCAGGGCGTATCCAAGTCCTGTCACGTCACTCTCCATCATGTTCCTAAGATCCGACCCTTCTATCTACACAACAAAAACTCTCCTCCATCTCCAGCCCCTCGTCATCTCCAGCCTTGGTTCCGGCAACCTCCTCCACTCTGGTCCACATGCCCCTTCTCGCACACCCAAAGACCGAAATCCCTCCACAGGCTCCTTGTCCTCATCCTCAGGGCCCTTCACAGCTCCACCTCCTTACTGATCCACTCAGTTCTCTTCTCGTGTGTCCCCTCTCCCCTCCACTCTGCCAGGGATGGAGCACCCACCTATCTGCGTCTCCCATGCTGCATCCCTAGTATAGAACAGCCCCCCTGAACCGGCCCATTCCCCATTCCTGCTTCGTAGCCATCCTCAAGACCCACTCGGCCAAGGAACAATGGACCATCGGGTAGATTTGATGTGCATCTATTTAACATAACAGATGCATATCATGGCAGGAAAAAAATGGTCCATATTTTGGTTTGAATTCCTTTATCTCCCCCTCCGTATGTTACAGAGAGCTTAATGTTAATAAAGAAAAGTATCTGTGTGTGCACGTGTGTGTGTTTGTGTACAGTGCCTTGCACATTCTGAGTGCTATCTGAAGGACAATAATTCTCAGTATCTAGAGAATGTACAAAATCCCCCCAAACTTGCCAATCATTTGGTGGACAAATTTTAACACATGGATCCTGGCTCCATCCCATCATTAGCTCTTAGGGATTTCCACCTTTGTTTGCACCCACAAGGATCTGCCAGCAGGAATGTGGGCATGAAGGCTGCTACACACCTGATTTGTGGGGACAGTTATTTCCAGGTGCAAATTATGCCTTCAGCAAGGGAGGCCAGTTTTTTTTAAAAAGCAAGACTCAAACGTAATACACATAGTCTCTTGCACATAAACTGCATTCCACAACCCCTTTCAGAATCCAGGCACCTTAACAGAAAGGAATTAGGACCAATGCTGAAGTCAAGAGAGGTCATCTGCCTGTGAAACGTCTAAAGAGCCACTCAGCACCATATCCTCAGTCTTGGGTGTTGAAAGTATTTGCCTTCATCCACGCTTGGGCACAGAGCTTGATTCTTA